TGGTTGTCAGAACTTGTTGATAACTATAACCAATTTATTGATACTTTAATAAGAATTAACTTTATTGAATTAATGATAAAACACAAGTGTCATAACTGCATCATTTATCCATTGAGTCAGACATCCCCTTGATAGCTAGTTCTCTTTTAATTTAATTGTTTTTGTTATTTTATCTTCATTAGTTAATAAAAGAAAATTTCTCCCTTTTATTTACTGCAGTAGAACGCGAAAGAGTTAATCACACAATTACTGTGGAGACGATCAATTTCCCTGTATTATATTAAATTATGATCACGATTAAGTGAAATATTTGATTGATCGCGCATTAAATTAAATTTCATCGATTAAATAATTAACCGATTTTTCAACAAATTTTTTTTTTTTCAATTTTCTTCCACTAATCGCACGTCAAGTTCACGACTAATAAAATATCAATACCACGAAATATAATTGTGCTACGGAAAATTCGAATGTGAACCAAAATAGCTCAACAAGTCCCTATTTACCATGAATTCATATAAAACTTACGATGTTGTCTCTATCTTAAATTGATTAAATATTATTGTCGTGTATCTTACTAGCAATTGTCAATATTAATATTTTATTATTATTATTATTATTATTATTATTATTTTGTTTTAAATTTAGCAGGCAAGTGGATTTATTGGTTCAATAATATCCGGACACGTAATAACGTGTGGGGGTACACTTATCTACCACGTGTTAAAGTGATCATTCATGTAATCAATTTACAAAAAACACCTTCCATTAATTAAATATACATAGGAGTATTTGTATTTTAATTTTTTAGTTCAATTTTTTTTTTTTAATTTAAAAAATATTCCGTTTGGACTAATTATATCATAATATTCAAATATAGAAATTAAAAATAATAATAATTTTATATAAAAATGAAGTAGATAAAAATTAAAATAAAAGTATTATTCCATCCGTCTTATAAAAAAGTATCCATTTTTCCATTTTAGTCCGTTTCATAACAAATTATCCATTTTTTTTAGTAACTGTACTATCTACCTAACATTACAAATACCCTTACAACTTACAATATATTACACAAATACCATTACCTTTATATCACACATACTAATAAAATCATTTTAGTCATTTCTATTTTATTTCTACTATATCTAAATATAATACTAATATTTATAAAACCATGTGAAAAAAAAAATGGATACTTCTGGGACGAAAGGAGTATAACAAATTTATTGAAGAGTTAATGTCAAATTGTTTATTATTTATTAAAGCAAGAGTAATCCATTATAGAAGGATAAAATTATTAACTGTAAATAAATTATGGATAAATTTAATAAACGATTAGAAAAAATAATAAAATAATTATCTCTAATAGAAGCAGTACTATATTCAAGTACTAGATTTAATATTAATTTATATCATATTAAATAATTAATTTATAAAATATGTTGATTTGGATGTAATCAATAGTTATTAATAAAAATAAATTATTTATTTTCATAAAATATCAGGATTGAAGTAAAATTTATATGAAAACTCAAATAAAAACTCAGAAGTCTGGAAATAAAACCAAACAAACATATGAAGTTAGGCTTTGTTACCGGCAACAGAAAAGTAGGTTTGCAATGATAAAAAATGAGCTGATTAGACTGAATGAAAGATATAGAAAAAATAATTTTAATAATATTTAATTATTTTAGTTTAATAGAAATATAGAAAATTTGTTTTTATTTGTCTTTATAATTTTCGTTATAAAAATTAACAATATTCTTAAAAATACTTTTTTTTTTTTTAAAAAAACTTGTTTATCATAAAATTTATATTTAACAATTATTCTGCTTAAAATCAAAACGCAAGTCAATTCAGTGTTGACTTTATAAAAGGTATAAAAAACAAAAAAAGTGTATCAACATAATTGATTTTAGATAAATAAATATTTTTATTAATATATTTTTTTAATTATTTACTAATTATATTTTATTTAAATAAAAAAATTATTATAATAGAAAATTAATTGTTATTTATTCGATATATATATATATATAAAAGAATCCAACCAAATAAAGTAAAATTTGAAAGTAGATTTCGAATTTGATGAGTTATATCTAAAATCATGTATGAATTCTTAAGCACTAAATTTACTAATACAAAGACCAAAAGATAGATATGAAACAAAACTAGAGTCTGAAAAAAACTAAAGTCTAAAGTTGTTAAGAATTTTTTTATTTTTTATTTTTGTCCAAGGATGCTACTTTTTCGCCCCGGCGCCTTGCCTATATCAATTCGCCCGCATCAGTTTCGTACGATTTGATTCGATTACCTGATCACGGGGTAACAGTCTGACGGTTACTCCTTGAATCTTCAACCACCTGAGTCGGTTACTTCACGGTGTCCGCCCCTTGCCATACTTCAGACACCCTAACCATCTGAATTGTACCTCCCGACTTTGCGACCAATTGATCCGAGAACAAACGATCTATCGGTCCACTGCACCCGTATTACAGCATTGCCGAATTATACTAAGATCTTTGAATACCCTTTTTGACCCTACGGGCCCAACTTGTCCTTGTAAATCCATGGGTCGAAACCCTAAATTCCACTTTTGATAATTCAACAGTATATATATAAATGCAAAAATTCATAATTTGAAATCAAGAGAGCAAAATCTTTTTTAGTCCCAAAGATGGTTGACTGGGATTGAATACGGCCGTGTTGAATGATTCAGAAGGGTGACTGGACATCCCAAGCAGCCAACACGGCCGTGTTGAGCTCAACAAGGCCGCGTTGATTAGCTTGCACTTCTGAACACGACCGTGTTCCGCATGTTCTGAACATAACCATATTCTTGTCCATATTCACGACCATATTCTCAACACACTCATATTTTAGACCATATTCACGACCATATTTTCAGTATAGTCATATTGTAAATCATATATATTATTATTTTCATTTTTTTGTTAAAATTATTTGATATATATATATTTATAATTCAACAATTATTTCATAATATAAAAATACCAAGTTTTAATGTTTTAAAAATAATTAAAAAATATATAAAAATAATAATATATTAATATATATTTTTAATAATCATCGTTATATCTATTTAAAATTTTTACTATAAATTTTGAAAAATAGATATAACTATGATTATTAAAAATATATATTACTCCCCCCGTCCCACATAATTTGTCCATATTTTTTATTTTCTTCCGTCCCACATAACTTGTCCTTTCTATTTTTGAAAATATAATTATGTACTTTAATCACATTTTAAATTTTAAATTTTATAATTTTCTTAATTTTAATTAAATTATTTACTTATCTTAATCTTAATCTATAATTATTTTTACTAAATAATAATTATTTTTACTAATACACTTTTTAATTACTTAGTAATTATACTTTACCTAAATTCTCGTATCTACGGAGGGAGTAATATATTATTATTTTTATATATATTTTTTTTTCAATTTTTTTAAAATATTAAAAATTGATTATTTTTTATATTATGAAATAATTGTAAAAAAATATTTTTTTGATTTATAAATATATATATATATATATCAAATAGTTTTATTAAAGAAGTTAAAATAATAATAAAAATACGACCTACAATAGGAATATACTGAAAACATATTGAACATACCTAAAATATGGCTGGTTGTGTTGAGAAAATGTGGTGAACATGGTCTTGAACATGACGATGTTGAGAATAGAGTCATTAACATGAGCAAAAACATGGCACGGGTATGAACACGGTCGTGGCGGCTGTGTGGACGCCCAGTCACCCTTATGAGTCATCTAATACAACCGTATTCAAGCTAACATGGCTGTGTTCAGTCTCCATTTGAATGAGACCACATAATCAAAATTGATAATTATAATATTGAATGACAGCAAAAATAGATAATATAATTGAAAAATATAAAAAGTTATTTAAAAAATATAATAAGAAAAATACAACATTTTGATGAATCGATCTAGGCGGGAAGATGTATTACGAGTGAAAAACGAAATAAATAAATTATGAGAGAACGACGAATAAACTAATAGAGAGTTTCAATCAAATAAAAATTGGTGAGAAAAATATTATTGTATTTAAATGATGATTTTTTATTTAAATAATACTCTCAAACAAGTACACTTTACTTCACACATGCGTGCGGATGCCCTCCCTCTATTATCTTTTTTCTGACTTCTTCTTCAATCTCTAGAATTTTCAAAAATTCTGTGTAGCTGTGAGCCTTCCAAATAATTTATTTATTTATTTATTTATTATTATTATTATTATTATTATTATTATTATTATTATTATTATTATTATTTTCATTTAGGCGTTTTTGTTCTAATTGGATTCAAACCTGTGTACTTTTTTTTATTTTTTATTATTGTGTTAGTTTTAATTTAAATTTTTTTTTTTAATGAGAAGAGTTTACATTATTTACAAATAGAATAAAATTTAGAATTTTAATTATATTATGAATTTTGAAATATATTTTTTTAAATACTCCCTCCGTCTTATATCTATGTATCCGTTTGTTTTTTGCATGGAGTTTTATAAATATTAATATTATACTCAAATGCATTAAGAATAAAATAGAAATGATTAAAATAATCTCATTAGTATTGTGTGATATAAAAGTAATAATATTTGCGTAATATATTGCAAGTTGTAAAGATATTTATAATGTTAGAAAAATAATACAATTATAAAAAAGAAAATGAATACACTTTTATGAACTAACCAAATAGATAGTTTGTTAAGGGATAAAATGAAATATTTTTTATATCTATAAATGTAAATTTTATTTTCTATGAAAAAAAATTTAAAAAGAAAAGTACTTTGGGATGGTTCAGGTGTATTCATTCATATTATATAAATATTTTTGGTTATCAAATACGATTTGCGATTTCAAATTTTGTTCAATTCAAACACCTAGATATTTACATATAGACAAATCATCTTCCCCTAAGTTAAACTTGATATTTTTGAAACAATATTTTTTAAATAATACAAAATATGAATCAAATCAAAAGGTACATACATCCAAACACAGCCATGCAAAGGTTCGAGAGAAGCAAAAATGACACACATAAGAGCATATTAAATTATACACTACCCGACCATCTTTTCCGTCCGCCGTGGGAATCTGCAGCCGCGACGAGAAGCTACTTCTCTCGAGTGCGACTATTTTGTTGTAATTAATAATAACGGATTATGATGAAAAACAACAAACTAAAAAAAAAGAAATAAGTAATAGTTGTTGATTTCATTCACTCACTTCATTCAAAAGAAAACCCCATGAGAAGCCTCACAGATTTATACTTGTCCCCCTTCTTGCCATAGAGTGGCACCGATCGGATCCCCGGCCGCAGTTCCGACACAAGAAAGCACGTCTGGCCCCCGAAGTCATCCTTTTCTGACCTGTCGTATTCGCGCACCTCTATCCGCAGCAGCGCCAGCTCCGGGATTCGCAAAGGGAACAAAAACTCGTGATCCCAACGGGGTATCCAGTCGTCTAATATTATCCTTGTTCTTCCCTTCCCCGCATCTTGCGGCAATCCTATTATATAAGCCTGCAATGCAATTATTCGATCAAACATGCTTTCGCATATCTGCAAAAACTAGCATCAATTCAAAATCGTATACTTTCTTCATCCGCCTCTAAGGATCACATTTAATTTTTGCGTCATTGTACTTAATATTAAAAATATGATTATATTTGTATAATTTTTTGTGCGAATGTTCTTCATTTAGTATTATAAGACACTATCGAAAGTATTTTTTTGCAATTTTTTCTTAATTTGTATTACGTTTTGATATAATAACTAATATTTAAAAATCAACACGCAAAAAGTAAATGATGCCCTTAGAGCCGGATGGAGGTAGTATTTTTTTTTGTCTGCCCGCTAACTTATTTATAATTCATTTATAATTAACCAATTTATTACTCTCTCCGTCTTAAATACTCTGCAACATTTTTTTTTTTGATATGTTTCAAACACTCCAATATTTCTAAAATAAGAAATAATTAAGTATACTTAATCTCTATTCCATACTTTATCCCATCACATCACTTAAATAAATATAAAATTTTTTCTCTCGTCATACCACTAATTATCAAATTATCCTATTTAATACTACTCACCTAAATTCTCGTGCTGGAACAAATGTTGCACCATGTTACCTTACTATTTCTTTAGTAATTATTTAATAAATTTTCCATAATACCTACTTCACTTTTTACCTGCTTCACATTTATATGAAAATAGAAGTATTTTTAGCCTTCTTTGTCGGGACAATGTGGCATAAAGAGCTCGGTTAGAGGGAGTATATATATACATACATATATATATATATATAGACCTACCTTTGTGTAGAAGTCGGGTGGCGAATGCTTGTCAAAGTGTGTTTTGCTGAAATCCATACGCCACCCGTCTCCCATGTACACGGTCACCTGCCAAAACGGGATGGGAGTGGTTTATTCTTTCATAATAAAATTGATATTCTCTGCATGTTTCTGGGAATTTTTATTTTTTTGTTACCTTCAATGTAGTTTTCACAGACCATGGGAATTTGGGATCGAAGACCTCATCCTCTGCACTTCTTGTCATGAGAATATTGGGTTTTTTAATGTAGCCGCAGCCTCCGTTCGACCTGAACACTCCATGCATCATCCAGAGAGATTTTCCATATCCCTGTTGAATCACTAGATAAGGCTAAGTCAGCAAGAAATGGAATCAGTTTAAATATTGGAAGAAAGAAGAGTGAATTGCAGTAGAAAATCGTACTTAGAAGGTTAGAGCACTGTAAATTCGATGAAGGCAAACATAGCATGCCATATTTGATTAAACAAGACATTTGGGATTGAATTGTGTTTATGAATATGTGAAGCATGAAGGGATTACTCGAAAATAGTTTCGAAGATCTTAAGAGAAATAGATGAAAACGAAGCTGAAAAAGCTGTGCAATAAATGCATAACAAAGGATTTTGGATCATAGGACAAAATTTAACCTGCATATTGAAGGCGACCATCTGCGCTCCGTGTATCCATCCAGTGGTTGGCCTGAAATTCGATGAAGTTACACGTGTTCCCTTGGGATATACCCGCATCAAGTTGTTCTGAGTGAACCTACAAATGTTAAACATGAGACATTGAGACATTAGGGGAAGTTTAGTGTGGTAAAATGGACATATTCGATCATCAATAGGACAGAAAAGTGTGATATGAGAAATAAATACCTCACTACTTTAGTAGCATATAACGATGCAGCTCTCTCCATTTCTTGTTCGCTTAAACTAAGACGAAGAGCCGTGTCTTCCAGTTTTAAGACATGCCTCAAGCGCTTGTTCTTGGCATTTCGAGCCTGAATGCTTATGAGGCGCTTGTATTCGGGTGCTGCATAGTTGACTGACTTTAATCTCATGCTGTTGCTACTGCACACTGATTCGTCATCGCTGTCGCTCTAAGTTATGAGGAAAGAGGAAAAGAGTAAATTATTCCTACATCATGATAATTCCAAAAAGAATGCAATAAAAAGGTTTTAACACTGTGAAATGCAGACTTCGTTCACACACCTTGTAATCAACTTCAGTTTCATCGTCAGAGTAATCTTTCACCGAAGAATTTTCCTGGTCCTTGTTACTTTCTCCATCCTTATTACTTTCTCCATCCTTATTACTTTCTCCATCCTTGTTGTTTTCACCATCCTTGTTATTGTTGGCCCCGAGATACTCCTTGGGTGGTTTGGTCGACAATATAATTCTATGCTTTAACTCTTCGGGCGAAGGAAATGCCTCCAAGCAATTCCCGGACTCAGGACAAAACAGCATATCACCGAATGTTTGTGTAGCCATCTAGAAAAATATTCAAGTAACTTTGATTTCATATTGCCAAACCAAAAACTGTCAAGAATAAGGCTTTATGAAGGTTCGAAATACCTTACCTCTGCCACTTTAGCCTGAAGCTCTGGAGTAAGGTGATCCTCTAAAGTAATAATGACGGGGTATGGTGAAGTAACAAAGGCATGTTGTTTAATCGACTCAAAACATTTGAGTAGTGGTACAGGAGTTGTCAGGGTCCTGAAAGTCAATCAAATTCATGATTTCTTGAACTTTAAAACTGCAACTACAGATCCAAGAGGTCAATGAAAATATAATCAAGGGACTTCTTGAAAACACCCTTTCAAACAATAGAACTATTGACCACGCCTTCATTTTTATTTTAGTTATCGTCAACTTCATGCCCAGAAAGATTGTAGAAAGGTCAGCGACTAGTATCCTTGTTTAGAAAATCTTCCCCAACGCTGATGGATATCATATATTAGAAGGGTATGTACGGTAATGCTAAACACTTATTTTCAAAAGAATCTAGAAGTACCTTCCATGAAGAACATGTACATTGTCTTTGGAAGAATTTGGCCATAAATCGAGCTCTATTCCTCGGACACCATTTTCCAGAGCTCTTATGATGGGAACATCACTACAGTCACTGCTCAATTGGTTTCCAGTTAAGTAGGAATTGTGACCTGTATATATGTAATAATGATGCAACGGAGCTGTCATATCATGGTGTACCTGGAAATGTATGCATTATATGTCAACAAAAACTACACTCACATAATATACGAACATCACACACACAAAAAACTGTTAAGTACAACTCTTGAAGTTTAATAATCAAACAATAAGTGCCCAAAACAGATGTTTCCGAAGGCGAATGTGAATTCATATAAAGATGTCGAAATAAGTTAAATTCTAATATACTCAAGTAAACTGCTATTGATGGCATCTTATTCATTTCTCATTCCTAAATTAAACTGATATGAGAACTTCAACATCTTTCATCATAAACCATGAAGTAGAACAGATTCTTCTTCTTGTACATTCATGGAGGCGGATGCACATTATCTATTTCATATATCAAAATGACCTTTGGGAAACCTCTTTCAGTTAATCTGGAGCAATATATAATTTACACATTAACAGCAAGAACAGGATCTCATGATCAAACTCCTCCAAGTTTAATTCATCAAATATCAAATCAAAAAAGTGGTTTGGAGATCAATACCCAATCATTGCTTTCGTAGTAAATCAATGGAGCAAAAGGAAAGATACAGAGAGGAGACAGCGACCTTAGGGTTAAACGGTCCATTGAGATCATCCTGAAACAGGAAATAGAAGAAATCATCAAGCGTTAAGCTCAAATTCCGGCCGTCATCGACCGATTTGTTGCGCCTATCCAACACTTCCAGCATTATCCCCCTCGCGTCATCGACGGTCCGCCAATTCTCCCCCTGATACTCCACCAGAAACCTCAGCAGCTGATACGCCGTCATCTCCGTTCCCCCATCGGCGTACCTCGAGAACGCCTGCTTCACGCCCTCCGGCGGCTCCAACTCCGTCGTCTTAAACTTCCGACTGAAGTACCCAAACATCTTGTAATGATTATAATCCGTCCCCATTTTCACACCACCAAAAGATCTCTCACGCTCTATTCTCCTCCTTCTCCTCCAGAATTCCGATCCAATTGCCGATCGCAACAACGAAAACAAAAATCCTCCAAATAATTACAGAAAACCAAATTACCGCTTCGAAATCCAAAACAACCACCGAATTGGTGAGAGAAAAAGGGTGGAAATTAAACAACAACGTCGGATTAGGGATTATCGGCCGGAGAAAGGATCAGAAAACCCAAATCCAACGGGAATGAATAGTTGGTCGGCGATGAGATGAGATCTGCGCAATGCACCTTAATGCACGACTGAATTCCATTCGGCACGGCGCTCGGTTCTCTCGTTTATTCCGTTAATCTTACATTCTGTCGTATTTTAGACTCCCTGATTGTCGAATCACATTTCGACACGTGTACACGTCTCCCGCCATTTTCAACTATTTCTATAAAGTCTAGTCTTCTTAAATTATTTCAATAATAAACTCAAGTGGTTGTTTTAACAATAACATAAATAGTTGACAAAATATTCTGTAGCATAATATTAATAAAATATTATGTCTATTAGTTGTCTTCTTCTTCTTCTTCTTTTTTTTTTTTTTCTTAAAATAAAATTATTTTATTGATACCACATCTTAAAAATAAAATCATTTACTTAAGTATATAATTGAGTAACACAACAACAAATAAAATATTTTTACAACTCAAAGATGATGCTATTTCTTATTTTTAGTATTTCTTAAATTTATGGATAAATTAATATAATATACTACTAATTGATATATTTTTTTTAATGTGTATTTATGGGTATTTATATGTGTTGTTTGAAAAGCACAAATGTGCCAAGTTATTTTATGTGTTTTAATAGAATATGTATCAAATTTGTTTGCACTAATATAATATTAAACTATAAAGATATAATAATCTATTTTATAATACATAATATTACACTTGAGCACATTTTATTCCTCACACAACATACCTATGTCTTTTAATATAATATATACTCCCTCTTTTCCATTGGAAGGGTGACGTTTGTTTTTTACAAGTAGATTTTTTAATATTAATATTATATTGTATTATAATAAAAAAGATAAAAATACTCCTATTAGTATGGTGTAATATAAAAATAATGACATTTGTGTAATATATTGTAAGTTGAAGGGGTATTTATTATGTTAAGTAGATAGTACAATTACTAAATTAGGAAATTGCAACCTTGTCTTGGGATGGACGGAAATAGAAAATGGTAACCTTTCAATGAGACGAATGAAGTATTAAGTTTATTTGCGTACACTGAATATAACATTAAAGTAGAAAGATATAACAATTTATCTTACAATACTTAATATTACACTTGAGCACATTTTATTCGTGACACAATATACCTATCAATTTAGGTTAACACAATGCCAAGTCTCTGTAAGTCAAACGGTGAGGCATCTTTCAACATAGTGTGTACAGGAATGGTTAAGTCTTCTTAATCCAACAATCACAACTAAAACTTTTCTTACGGTACAATCTTAATCAAACATATTTGCAATCATGTATATGACACATCTTCATTGCCTTTAGCTAACATTATATCTCCTTTGAAAATCTTATATGTTTTGGATCCAAATGTATTATTTAATTTCCCTAACAAAATCAAATTCTTCTTCAAGATTGGTATGAGTTTTGACGTTATCTAAATTCCACTAGCATCAATTAGAAGTTTCGATTATGATGGAAATTTTTTTCACAGTTCTCCATGATTCGTCATCCGCTCGATGGACAACCCAAAGTTATTAAAAATATAATTTTCCATAATCTCTTAATTATTGCAAGAGTGAAATGAAACCTCAAGAGTCCGAAAACCGTTTTATGTCTTTATTCGTTGCATTTATGTCTCTCTTATCCCTCTTTGTTACTCTACACTAATTATGATAATGCTCGAATTTTTAACAATTCAAACATAAGAAATAACTTAGATCTTTCTCGGGCCTACTTTGATTACTCAACTTCAATAGTTTTTTTATTCATTTTCCTAAAATAGGTTTTGGCTTGTGTTTCATATTTAGGACATATCCTGTCATCTTTTGTCTTCTATAGATTTTTTCGCTAAAAATCAAATCTTTGACGACATCGAACTTTAAATTCTCATTTCCTAATCAAACACTAATTGCTATGAGAATATTTTTCCAAATTTCTAAAAGACCAAATAGCAAAATTGGACTTTCATCTCATCATCAAATTCAATATTATTAGAGGACAACTACGATATGATAATATTGAATTCATTGATGTGTTTAGCTACGATAGTAGTCTCTGAAATTTGAAAAAGCTTCACATTTAATGAATTTTATTAGCTGCAAATGGCTTCTTTTACATATCTACAGAATCTATGATGTTTCACATTACTTGGCTCAATGAATTTGCTAATGAGAATATTTTCTTCGATCATTATGACAATTCCCACTTGACAATGTTTTGATATTAGTTGTTACCGAAATATCACAAGAATGAAAGAATATAATATAAAAATTAAAATAATTTAGTTACCCACTTCAATCCAGACTGATCTATGTCGGGAGTACTTTCAAATTACTAATTTCGTTATACATAATCAATGAATTATATAAAAAAAAATAGAAATATATTTACCGTTAAAAATCTAGGACTATGTCGTGAAAATGTCAACAAAGCCCTAATCATACTTATTATCAGACTTTATAATCCAATACAATATTTTACAAATAACTCATTAGATAACGGCTTTTGAAACAACACCTTTGTTAACTCATTTATCAATCATTAAAAACACATTATTTATTTCAAACATAATATGTGACATTTGCATTCATACGCTTCTTAGTTGAGTATAGTTCATCTCTTAAAATATTAAATTTTTCCACTCTAATAAAAAAAAGAAAAAAAACATAAGTAATGAAACAACACTACAATATCAATCATTCAAAGGAGATCAATACTTTTAACAAAAATATCAACGATTTATAAATTACATAAAGAGCAATTTTTATGAACAATAAACTTTCTACAAGTTAGCAATATCAAAAAAATATAAAAATAAAAACACAAGTAACTAGCAAAATAAAACAAAGTCCACTTGGAACTTTTCAACATTAATTTATTCTTCTCTTCCGTAAAAAGTTTGAAAATTATATTTGGCACATTCTTAGTTAGTTTATTATTCTCTTATTTCACTATTCCTAATGTTATTTTTTTTCTTCTTTTTTTTTTTTTTTTTTTTTTTTAATCTTTGCAAAGTATGTCCTAGATTTTTTCTTAACATAATTAATTCCAATTACTTTCTTGGAGTAAAATTTGTTCGAAAATCATTTTCTTTTTCGTATCAGAAAATTTCAAGTCACCAATCTGATAATAGACCTTTGCGTGGAGTGCATGAGGCCAATTCTCTATGTAGAACATCGTGAACACTCCCCAACTATGTGGACGAGTCTTGCATGAATGATAGATTCACTTTCCGATCTCAATTTTCCTACTACCTTTAGGGAGACAATCTAGTTATCAGTGGGGGATGTTGGAAAAGATCATTCGTGTTGGGAAAGTGTAATACTCTAAAAATACTATGGAAACATCACATGCCAACATGGAAACAACACGTAGGAACGTGTCATGCCTCGATGTCAATGCTAAAATGTAATAAAAACAAGTATAAATATTTTTGTTTGTGATAATCATAAAATATTTTTACCAACACCCACAATTACTTCTAAACATACAATTGTAAAAGGTCATTATACATATTTAAAATTCTCAATGAATTTCAAAAGTGTGCAATCATTAGTTGGATAATATACAATCCAAAATGTCATGCGTATTTGATAAAAGTTTCATACCTATGATGCATCAAGTTGACAAAGATCTAGAATTCAAATTTACACAGAAGAAAGTAGTCATATCAGCAAAAACTTAGTAAGGAATTAAATATGCAATGCATGAAATAATTTACCAACAATATAAAATATCTAAGAAACAACTAAAACTAGCCAAAATTCATATCTCACTCAATTGATCAACTGACTTTCCAAGCAACAACTAAGTCTAACCAAATCTACGACTAACACAACTATTAATCGACTTGCCAATCAGCAGCTAAGGCTAGCCAAATTCAAGGCTTACACAATTCCCCATTGGGATTGTCAATTAATGACTAAGTCTAGTCAAATTAAGGATATCAGAATTTATCAATCGACTTGCCCATCAACGGCTAAATTTAGTCAAATTTACGGCTTACACATAAATTTACGACTTACACACTTTATCAATTAGCTTGTCAATAGATACGTCTAGTCAAATCTATAAATATACAGATTACACAATTCACCAATTAATTTATCAATCAACGGCTATGTCTAACCGAATTCATAGCTTACAAAATTTATGTAACACTCCGGCCCGCTAGCCACGTTAGCTGGACATGTCGAGTCAAGACAAGTCATTCCAACGCGGTATATTCTCACGTACCTTGAGAGTCTTCCCATGGGGTCATATATTCTCAAATTACTTTAAGACAAACATATTTAACTCTAGAGTTCTTTCTGTAGAGCTTTCGAAAAGGAATATGCATGTTGTTGACATGAGTAGTTTATCCAATTCACTTAATCATTTATCAACATCAGGAGTATCACATCATCCCTTAATTAAGAATGCAACGCTCATTACACCATAAGAATCCTTCAACTGCTAGCCCCTCAATAGTCCGGTTAACGACTATGAACTATCGCAGGTCGACTCTGAGACCAATAGGTGTAACACCCCAAATAGTAACCTTGAAGTATCACATGCCAACATGAGAAAAATATCACACAAAAGCGTGATGTGCCTCGTTTCTAAGACTAAAACATAATAAAAACAAAAATATAAGTATTTTTTTTTTTTCTGCAGAACTCTTAAAATAAAATTTACTAATACCCACAAGTATTTCAAAAATATATATTCATAAAAAGTCTTTATATGTATTAAAAATTATCAATGCATCTCAAAAGAATGAAGTGTGTATAATCATAATTTCGGACATTATCCAATACCAAAGTCATGCCTGCTCGATAAAAGTTCAATCCCCATGATGCATCAAGTGGATGAAGGTCCAAAAATCAAATCACCATGGAAGAAGGTAGTAAACATCAGCTAAATTAAAGTAACAAATTAAATATGCAATACATGAAACAAAAAGCAACAATAAACGATATCTAAACAACAACTACAACTAGCCAAAATTTACAGCTCACTTAATACACTCTTCTGACTTTTAATCGATAGCTAAGTCTAGCTGAAATTTTGGCTCACACAAAATTTCAATCGACTTGCCAATT